AGGAAGACTGAGAGGGAAAGGGTAGGGAATAGATTCCACGTCCACCAAAAGCTGACAGTCATTATTTCTGTCACCGTCATTCTAGTCACCATTTCAAGTTCTTTTGTACTTTACCCTCTCACTGTTATCATGTTTTTAAATCAAAGGAATCATCCTGATTTCTATACAAAGAGTTTGGTATGTGGCACATCGTCTTTTTAAACTATAGCTTTGAATGTAGCCGACCCAATGACAAAGCAGTTGCTTCATTTTTCCGTTAGAAGATATTCCTGCCCAAATATAACCTGACTCCTTACTGATTTTTAACTTAAGAAATTTGAAGAGTCAAATTTACTTTCTTTTGAGGTAAATTTTAAATTATTGAAGCAAATTCTAGGATGTTTTTTGATGTTGCTAATACGATCGTTTTAATTTCTAGTTCCTTAATTTACCTTAGTATGACATTATTTTAATTAATGCGCTTTTTAAAACTTCTAACTTAGAAAAAGAATAGACTTGAATTTGGTACAATCTTAGCTTGTTAGACTTACTAGTTAGACTAGTTATATTTATAAGTCATTCTTCTAAATAACTCCCAAGGTTAGAAAAATTTGCTATGTGTGACTGTGTGTAAAGCAAATTTTCAATTTAAATATTATATAATCATTTGGTAAGCGTATGATTCACTTTGGACTATTCTACCCTGAGGACTATTTATCTATGCTTTAGGGAAGGAAGTTTCCAGGCTTCAGATTACCTAATTAAATAGAACATCCAGAAGGGCTCTTACGTATGCTCCTTCTCCCGTATTTCACAACATTTAGGAAGAAAGAGATATTCTCTGCTGCTGTTCAAGACTTATCTTTTTGCGGGGGGAGGGGGGGCAGGGGGACATGGGGGGGCACCTTAGCCCTGAGCTAACATCTGCTGCCAATCCTCCTCTTTTTGCTGAGGAAGACTGGCCCTGAGCTAACATCCGTGCCCATCTTCCTCTACTTTATATGTGGGACACCTGCTACAGCATGGCTTGATGAGCAGTGCGTAGGTCCGCACCTGGGATCCCAACTGGCGAACCCTGGGCCACTGAAGCAAAACATGAGAACTTAGCTACTGCACCACCAGGCTGGCCCCCAAGACTCATCTTTCACAACTTCAAAACTTGAAGTTCTGTTCCATCTGCTAATTTCCCCTCTCCTTAACCTCATTAATGTTATTTAAAGACGTTTTAAGTTCTCTTTTTCTTGCTAGAAATTTTCAATACATGACTCATGAAATTTTCCCTACCTTTTCTCTTTTATCATCTTAAAGCTTTTTCAACAACCACCCTACTAAACCTTATAACATATATGCTATAGAATTTCTTAACTTACCCAATTCCAATGTCTCGTATCTCCATTTCTCCTAAGTTAACTATGGGGATGGCCATATGTTGGAACCCATCATAATTTGGAATTACTTCAGCTTTAAGTTTTTGAACTCTGAAATTCTCCTTTCAGATTATAATTTCACTTTAGGCTACAAATCTCCCATTTATCCATTTAACAAATATTTATTGAGCGCCTATTATATACTGAACTTCATAGTCCTCCCTTTTAACCATGTCCTCCTGCCTTATCTTTACCTCTAGTTCTGTGATACTCCAGCCTGCATATTATTGTATTACTACCCTGATTTAACCTCATTTGCTTTCTTACCTATAATGAGCCTCCTGGTAGATCATTTCAATTGCACTTCAACCCATAACTTCAATTTTTTTGTTGTTTTAACTTCACCTTACTTGACCTCTTCTAGTTTTACATATATGTATATATATATGTGTGTGTGTGTGTGTGTGTATACGTGTATGTATAAAACTATTGTGTATATTTTACATGTATATTTTGTTTTTATATATGTAAACATTTGTATATAAATATATATGTATATAAACACTGTTTATTACTGTCTCTGTCTTTAACCCTTCCTTTGGCTTCTACAGCATTATTCTGCTTAGGTTTACTTTCTTCTTCTGACTTCTCTATCTTAGGCTCTTTTACTATTTCCTCTGACTTTCTTCATTATTATTGTGTTTTACAATCAATATTTACCTACGTATTTATGCTTTCTGTTGTTCTCTGGTGCATCTTGCTTTTGTCTAGGACATCTCTTTAATTTACTTATTTTATTTATTGAGTGCCGGTCTACTGGTGAAGAATTCTGTGTTTTGTTGATTATGGCATCTTCATTTCATTTTCATTTTGGGAAGGTGTTTTCACTGGGTATAGAATTGCAGGTTAGCAGTTGTTTTGCTTTGGCACTTTAAAGACTCAAGGCTGGAGTCTAGATCTGGTCCACCCCTGCTCTCAGGGTGTTGTGAGAGCCTAGGGTGTTTACGGGGGCTTCCCCACAGGCAGGTCCTAAACTAGAATCCTTGTCCCCTCAGCACTGAGAAACTTCCCAGAACTCCACTTATAGGTAATTATAAGGACTTTGGCTTTTATTCTATGCAAGATGGGAAGTCACTGGAGAGTTCAAACAGACGAGAGATATGCAAAAGAGTTTTTCTGTTTGCTGTGGTTGGAAAAGATAATAAGAAAGCAAAGAGAAGCCTGGAAAGACCAGTTAAAAGGCTGTTGCAAAAAACCAGGCAAGAGATAAAGGTGACATATAATTTCTTTTCTGGCTATTGAAATAATTTCCAAACTGCTTGAAATCTTGATCTACTCAAACCATTTCTCCCTTCTAATGCCAGATTGATTTATTTCTAAAATTCATATCCATTGATGTCACTTCTCAGAGATTCCCCATTATATATCTTTAGGATTCCTTACCAAAGGATAAAAGCTCATATCTATGCTCTGGTGCCTGCCTCCCTTTGTAACATCCTCTTTTTATACCTCTTTCCTTTAGTCAGTGTTATGTACTTGGAGCCTAGAATCTCTCCATAGGTTAAAAAACTGCTTGGGCCTCTATGCCTTGGCCTATGTTTTCCTTCTTCTTGAACTATCTTTCTCATCAACTCCCTTCTCTTACCTGATTGACTCCAATTTATCTTTAAAGACTCAGTTTAAGGATTAAGGATAGCAGAAACTTTTCTTCTCTTGGAAGAGTTTGGATTTCTGAACCTTTTCTGTCCCCATTCCAAGACACAAATGAGTTTTTTCTGTGAATTCAGTACATTCAATAAACACTTGTGTCTTCTACTCTCTGCTAAGAATAGTTTTAGGAGTTGGAGAATCAGGTGAATAAACTGCCATATTTGCCCTCAAGGACCTCATTCTCGAAGAAAAGACGCATAAATACGTAATTGCATTATAGTATGATAGGTATAGCAGTAGAAAAGTATGATCTTGGGAGGAGCGTGTGAGTGAAGGCTTCCTAGAGGAAGAGGAATCCATACTGGTTTTTAAAGACTAAATCAGAGTTTGTCAAGCAGACAAGGTGCATGGGGTAGGCCGAGTATCCCAGATTGAAGGAACAATATGTGCAATAGCATAGAATGGCAAAACAGCAAGGTTTAGGCACATTACAGAAAAATTGGTATTTGAGTATAACATTTAAAAGGTGATTAGGAGGCTATCCCCGGGCCGAGTGGTTAAGTTTGTGAGTTCTGCTTCAGCAGCCCGGGGTTTGCTAGTTTGGATCCCAGATGTGGAGCTACACACTGCTCATTAAGCCATGCTGTGGCAACATCCCACTTGGAGAAACTAGAATGACTTGCAACAGGGATATATAACTATGTACTAGGGCTTTGGGGAGGAAAAAAAAATGGAGGAAGATTGGCAACAGATGTTACCTCAGGGCCAATGTTCCTCACCAAAAAGAAAAAGAAAATAGGAACTAAAAGGTGATTAATGGGAGGTGAGCTTGAAAAGAATGGACATGCAATCATTGAAGATCTTATCTGTAAGGCCTACCTCTCTTGTAGTACTTATCATACTGTATTTTAACCACTAGTTTTCATCTCCACGTCACCACCAATGGGCTTCTTCAGGGCAGGCACTGGGTCTTATTCATTAATCTTTGCATATGTAGCACCTGTTCAAGTGTCTAAGATGTAGTAGATACTCAGTAAATGCTTATGTTACTAATGTGGACCCTTTAAAACTTTTAAAAGATTATTTTACATAAGACCATTATTTGATATTTGGCACAAATCTATGTCTGTCTGTCTGTCTATCTACTGCCTGGGTTGAGTCTGGACATTATCAGAGCCAAAGTCTAAGTGTAAAAATAAAATAGAAATAAAATGCAATTAATTAGAGATTCTTAGTAAAACTACATTTAAATCTGATGTGCAAGGCATGATATATCCAGGATGTAGCATTTTAAAAATACAATGTTACTAAATTGCTTATCAGATTTAACTAGCTATTATTGACATAAGATAAATGACTAAAATGGAATAGACATTTATGCAGATTTGTCTAGGAAGATGGACGTTCCATGTCTATCTTTCCATTCACTCTTATTTCCTTCTTATATTTACCTTCTTCCATAGCACTGGACACCAGATGGAAACATTTTTACAGCAGAAAGGGATAATTAGCAGCAGTCTTAAGAACTCTGCAACTCAGTTAGGTAAAGCAGGTAGTCTGTTGTCTCTAGATTAGAAGACAAGAGTCAGTTTTCAGTCTAGTGTGTTCTTGCCTCTTGTTTCCAAAGGGGCCTTCCAAACCACTTTGGAAAGTAGCACAAATGGGTTAGAAATGTCATGAACATAAGGAAAAAAGGAGACATATAACCTGGAATCAATCATAGAAATAGTAGTAATCTGAGAAAAATTGGAATATCTAAATCACACACTCTTGTGCAAGATCCTCTGGCTAATTGACTAATTACTGTTGAAGAAATAGAAAAGAAAATGAAAAGCAAAGTCTTTTGGATAAACATATTGCTTTGTCTTAAGTAGTTTTACACATCTTCAAGAAAAAAATGACTTGAGCTTGTTTGCCGTCTCTTACCTTTTTTTAAAATGCCTTTGCTGAGGCATCTGCTAACCATTACTGGTTTCTCGTAACGATCTCTCTTTTCTCCCTTAGTATCTTTTTGCCACATACATTGCTCCTTCAGCCACTCTTGACATTGGACTCCAACAGGAAAAGAAAAAAGAAATTTATATGAAAATACAGCCACCATTTGAAGACCTTTTTGACACAGCAGAAGAATACATCCTTCTCCTCCTTCTTGAGCCCTGGACACAGATGGTAAAATCAGACCAAGTTGCTTATGGAAAGGTATTGTGGCACTGACAAATTGTTTGTGAACCATTCAGGTTTACTACAAGACTGATGATAAGCAGCATTGTTAACTCACAAGAGAAAAACAACAACAAGGGTCTCTCACTTGGGCCAGGGATTCAGAGTTAAGATTTGGGCAGGCTCAAATTTGGGGCAGGGAAAGTGTTTATTAACTTTATTTTTTTGCCAGTTTCCCTATTGTCTCCTAACAAAAGATATTTTTAACGTCAATGTCATTTTTAGTTCTCTGTACAAATATGTCAGCAGAGAGAAATCTGAGTTTTGGTTTCCTGTGAACCAACAAAATGTGCCATGATAATATACTGGCTTTGTCCCTTCTTGCCATTTCTCAGCAGTGGCTTTAATTTTGATTAGTGGAAAAAAGCCCATTTAGTTTTATACTTGATGAGTTACAGTAAATATTACACCCATGGAAAATATAAACGTTTCATTTGTATTGTGGAAAGCACATTGTCCGACTTCAGAGCTGCTTTTAAAGCAACTGCAGATGTTCGTCAGGTCGGACTGCTTGATTGGATAAAAATTTCAACACATCTTTTTTCATCCCAAAGAGGTTATTTTAAGCCTCAATGCTTGAATATTTTCACCATTCTTATTAATGGGTGGAGGAAATATTTATTTTGGATCATAAATTAAAACCATTCATGGGTATTTTTCATATTAAGTTAATGCATATACCCTGTACGGGAGGTTATTTGGTGGAACTCTGCTATCTTTGTGTTGCTATTTGTTTATATCTCCTCAACAACTTCTTAGATAGTCGTGTCTTCTACTAGAAAGCATAGGTTAGGTAATTAAGATAAAATTAATACCGGGGGCCAGCCCCATGGCCGAGTGGTTAAGTTCGCGAGCTCTGCTTCGGCAGCCCAGGGTTTCGCCAGTTTGAATCCTGGGCACGGACATGGCACCGCTCATTAAGCCATGCTGAGGTGGCATCCCACATGCCACAACTAGAAGGACCCACAGCTAAAAAAATATACAACTATGTACTGGGGGACTTTGGGAGAAAAAGAAAAAATAAAATCTTTAAAGATAAAATTAATACCAAAACACCCTGGATAGAGTTGCTTTATTGGATTTTAACTTAAAACAACCCTATGGCTTACTAAATTAAATGACCAAAATAATTAAATTTTTATTCCTGATTTCTCTTTGTCCTGAAAAATTAGCATTGCATCATTTCTACTACAAAAAGATATATATTACACTAGGAAGATTAAGATATCATATGAAATTTTAAAAAATTCTTTCCATTCACTATTTTAAATAAAGTGTATGGTATAGAGGAAAATGGTCCTGAGATAGGATCCTGAAGTAATAAAAAAGATTAAAAATTATAACTAACTTCCCTAAACCAAAAAGTTTTGTCATTAGCAATGATTCCTATAAAATGCGTGGGACAAATTATACACTCTTTTTAATAAGAGGAAAAATAAATCTTAATTTTAGAAACTTGCTTAAATTCAGCCCAGAGGACTTCTCTAAAAGTTCAGCTGACTGGATTACGTAGACTCTTTCCCAAAAGAGACTACCAAAACTAGCTATTAAATGCAGAAAATTCTCAGTGAGCCAAACTAATTTTCTCTGCAATAGAGAAATGGAGAAAGATCCTGTTCTCCTGACTATGTAAAACAGTGCAATCTATCGAAGGCTGAGATCTAATATGAGGTTTAGATGACTGGCTCTCTCTTCTCTTGCTATAGCAATGAAAAACCTTTGCTCACAGACTAAGAAGAATGGAGTTCAGTCATTTCTTGTTCTTCTATGGATTATTTGGTCCCTAAAGCTGGCAGTGCCTGCCTTCATGACTAATATCGTGTCATAATGAATAGAAACTGAAAATGTGACCCAACAATGTTTGTTAGTTCACACGGGTTGTCCAGAAAGGAAGAATGATCTTTGGTGGCACTATATCATTACATAGAAATGTTTGTATTTTTTATTGCACGCATTTAAAGTCTGACTTTGCTGTAGCTAATATTTTTTTGCTATGTTGGTCTTCCTGCTTTAGCCTCCAAAATAATTTATTGGCAAGTGTATTTGGTTTTTAGCCCACTGTTACTGGCAAATTGTACATTCTTTCCCCACTTTTTCATAATGCCATTCTATTGATGTTACACACTTTATTATTATTGTATTAGGTGGAGCTGGTGGAAGAAACTCGACAGCTAGACTCTCCACATTTCAGAAAGCTACAGGCTTTGCATAAAGAGACATTTTCCAGGAAAGCTGAGGTAAGACAATGAAAAACTTTTTACCCTAAAGAGGATTACCACTGCATATATGGCAGGTGGAGGTGGGAATCATATATTGAGCATATCATGTATTAATAATGTAGGAGTTAGGCAGTTTCATTTTTCTGCCATTCCTTTGCCTAGCATGCTGCATTTGAAAGGTATTACATCTTTTGACACATTTAATAACAAAGCTGGAAAAAAAAAGCAGATAAGGTAGCATAGGGAGCCAAGCAACTCGCTTGCCTTAGCTGAGAGCCTTCAAACCGTATTATATTACTTTGAATGTTACTGATTATTTCCTGTATGACAACAGCTTTATTTGTTGTCAAGTCAAAAAAGAGTTAAATTGGGCTTTCCAAACAGAAAAGGAACTGTTGTGTGACAGCAATAGGCAAAACAATAAAGAAAAAAATAGGGAAAGGATTTGAAGGAGTCAGTAAAAAGATCGTAGGATATGCTAACATATTAAAATGTTATTTTGATTTATAAATTTGCAGCTTTTGTATTGGCTAAGTAATCATAATATATCCATAAAGTCGTAAAATTAGATGTGTGTGTCTTCATAAAAATGACAGTTTAGGTGCATATTTTTTGACATGGAAAATGCCCTGGACATATTGTATAAAAATATAGGGATTGGGGCTGCCTTGGAGGCGTAGTGGTTAAGTTCACACTCTCTGCTTCACTGACCCGGGGTTTACTGGTTCAGATCCCAGGCATGGACCTAGCACTGCTCGTCAAGCCACGATATGGCAGCATCCCACATAAAACAGAGGAAGATTGGCACAGATGTTAGCTTAGCAACAATCTTTCTCTCTCACACACACACGCAAAAATGTAGGGTATCGTATGATCCTATTTATATAAAATTATATGTGTATTTCTGTATGTATACACATATTCAAAGAGATATCTAGAAGGATGTTCACCAAAATGTTAAAGATAGTTAGCTTTGAGTGGTAAGGTTTCAGATGATCTTTTACTTTCTTCTTTCTAAATATTTGAAATTTTATTCTTTTAATAATAAAGTTTTATAAAAATAGTGAAGTTATTTTTAAAATGTAACCTTCGTGATCATTGCTTTATTAGCATAGAAGTTCTCTATTTGAGACACTAGTGATTAATACCTTGGAAAGGTTACATAAAAATCCATAAAGGTAGCACATTATAAAGTAGTATTTTAAACTTTAAGAGCTAAAATTTATAACACTCCCAATAATACTTCTACCTATGGAAAATTAATTTTTAAAATATTGGTAGTTTATCTCATGGTCTGACACTTTTCAAAAACGAGTAGGGAGATGAATTAATTGTGTAAGAAATTATATAAGGAAACGATTTTCAAAGAATAAGCATAAGCTCTTTGCCCTATAGGGCTTGTAAACTGTCCACAAAACATCAGAGGTCTTGAAAATACCTAAAAATTAACTTTATATGAAGGTGATTACATTTAAAGAATGTACTATTAGATAAATGTCTTGCATTACTCTATAACTTTTAAAACTAAGTTATAAATAGAAGAATGTTTTATGTTCATAATATATTATTAAGAAAAAGAATCAAGTTACAAAGCTATACATAGATGTAGAGTCCTATCTTCATTTTTAATAAACTACATTTGTGTATACAAGACTGGAAGGATATATATAAAAATATTAATGGTGGTTGGCTCTGAATGATAGTATTATGTATGCTTTTCCTTTTTGTCTTTTTATTACAAAAGACATTACTTCTGTACTAAGAAAAATTATAAAATTAATATTTTATTAACAAGTATGTAGTAAATATTTACTAAATGTTCCTGAAAAGAAAGGAATGGAATGGAAAGGAGCAGAACAGAATTTGATATGAGTTAGAACTGGATCCTAGATTCTAGATTCTTTACCCAGTTCTACCATTGAATTGTTAAACAGCATTGGCCTAATAGTTACTTTTTATTTTAGTTTCTCTATTTAAATTTGGGGGAAAAATTGTTGTGTTTAAGAGATTTTTACAAAAAGTATTATTTCACTAGGACACTACTTGTGAAATTGGACCTGGTATTTCACCACTTCATGATGCCTCTAAACAAACAGAATATTGGAATAATGTTCCTGAGGAATATAAGCATTTTAACTTTAATGATCTGCTTAAGAACAAACTGGAATTTGAACATTTCCGTCAATTTCTTGAGGCTCATTCTTCAAGGTGAGGAACAGAACATTTTAAAACGTATTTCTCTCTTAAAACATCATTTTTCTAAGATACTTATTTTTCTAAGCTACTTATTTTGATTCAACATATTATAAAAGTGATTTAGTGCTAGATTTTACCCATCTCAGTAAAAATTAATGAGTATAATTATCTGAAATCTGTATGGATAACTTTTTGTTGCAGAGTGTGTTCTGATAATAGCAAAGTTCAGTTAAAGTGGTTAAGCAATATTTGTTGATAATTTTAGCGTTGGCTAAATTAAAACACCAGTATGTTTTATTCTTTCCCTTTTTGCTGTTTCTTTCTTTTGCATTTTTCTCGACAGGTGCTTTAATTATATTTCTGAGAAATGTCTCTTTTACATTTCACTAAGCTATTGAAATCACTGTAATATTTCATAATTTTTATTAGCTAATACATAAATAAAGCATTGTAGTTTTGCACAGAATCTTGGAACCTTATGACATATTTATCTAATGTAAACTGAAGTATTGACCGTGTTTTTTTACAATAATTTTTCTCCCAACAGAAACTGATTAGACCTGGGAGCCAAATTTCACATACATCATTTCCCTTCTTTGTGATTAAGATTACTCTAAATTTAGCATGTTGCCAAGTAGACATGCAATAGGTGGAAATTTTCCAATATTTGAAATTGACAATGATAGTCCATCATTAATGGAAGAACTCTGAGACCCTACCAATAATGATGGTAGATTCTTTTCTGATCCCAGTACTTGTATTCATTTATATTTTTAGTCAGGATGAGGAATACAATAGAGTCAACCTAACTGGCCTAGAAAGGGATCAGAGACACAATATTCTACTCATTAGTTCTATGATCTAATCAGTTGTGCTAACTAGTCAACGCAACCACTTTCTAAGTTCTGTCAAAACAACAACTTGTTTGGTGTTTAGTAGAATTGAGAGAACAAATAAGAAGGACTATGCTTTGTTCTTGTTTTCATTTTAGCATGGACCTCATGTGCTGGATAGACATTGAGCAGTTCCGAAGAATAATGTATGGAGATCAAAAGCAAAGGGAGGCAAAATCTAGACATATTAAAAACAAATACCTTAATAAAAAATATTTCTTTGGACCCAACAGTCCAGCTTCTCTATATCAGCAGAACCAGGTATCAACATATAAATGTATTTTTTATAATTAAGTATGAAAACCAATAATTTATTTCTGTTTTCCAAGTCACCTTTTTTAATTTTCCTTTTATGACATATGTTAGACACTTTTGATATCTGATTTTGTTAGGTATTCATAATTATCTACAAATTAAGTATCTTTAAAATTCACTCAAGTATACATATTATAAAAAATGTTATTTTAAAAAGTAATTTATAGAATAAAAATAACTTATTCATCCACTCATCCATTCACTCAGCAAATATGAGTGCCTGTAATATGCCAGACATTGTTGTAAGCGCTTGGGATAAGTGGTGAACAAGGTGGACAAGGTCCCTGCACCTTTCAACAAGCAGAAAAACAGCCATTATAAGCCATTAAGCCTCATCTCTACCTCTTTTCTGTTCTTCTCTGAACTGATATTACTCCAGACATAATCAATCTTTGAAAAATCATTTGCCATTATATTGTTTCCAGAAACTATTTTCATTGACCAGAAACATACGTTTGGCCATTTTACTATACCAAAGTAAGATGGCCTTAATCACAACTTATTAATAACTACAGTGTCATTATTTACAGCAAAAATGTCAGATTGGATTTGAGTGTTCATGCTTTGAGTGCATGGAATATGGCTCAATTTTTATGCTTCTGAAATATAAATAATTAAGTATTATAATTTATTTAGTTTGAAGTTTGCTAGTACTACACTACTACCTAGAAATCAAATGTATAGCATTTGACTTCCTCATTTTGGTAGTTTAAAAGGATGCGTGTCCTATTGGCATACATTTATAAAATATGAATTTCAGATTAATGCTAAATTCAGTAAATTAAAGAAAAATTCAGAGGTGTTCACAAGTAGGGCATACCAAATTAAAAAGCTAGATCCTTGGGAAAATAAACAAAAGTCTTCGAGAGTAAGAGGGAGAAGAAATTCTAGAATTAAGCAACCTTGACAAAAATGTCTTGCCGTTAGTTCCGTCAGATACAAATCTGGGATGTATTAGCAAAAGTGGTTGGGTATCTCAATAAGCACAAATATGAAATAAACACATGGAAAGCGTTTGTTTTCTGTTTGGCTTGTGCTACGTTATGTGAGGTTTTGTGGTGTCTGATGCTACTGTGTGAACCCTCCATAGTATAATATGCTGGAATTTAAAATTCAGTGGAAAAAGTTACCCATTGCTATCATAACAAATGATTGTGCTTGCTACAGAGGAGTTTTCCCAATGACCCTGCTTCCTCACTTTCGTCTTTACTTTTATTTTTATTTACTTACTTTATACTTAAGGATATCCACATCACATTATGTTTTATATAGATTATGCTAGTTCTAATTTCAGTTGTGTGGTAGGTTCGCTCTTTCATTAGCAAAACAGTCTTTTCTCTTTTTCTTTTTTCTTATTTTTTATACAAAAACAGTGTTATTGTTAATATTATTTGATTATTATTATTAAAGAATGACTAAGAGGGGTTCTCTTTTGTTTTCATGTAAAACGTATTATTATTACATATTAGTAGGATTTGGTTAATCTTATTAATCAAAGGAGAACTAAGAAGAAGGTAATTTTTCCATTGAGCAGTCCAAAAGTTTTGAGTGATGTATACACAGAAACAGGTAAAAAAAAAACCCAATGATTTATAGCAGGAAAGAGCCATTAGTAGCTTCTTGAAATCACAAGTTTTTCAGAAGGAAGATTTGGGCCACAAAGAAATTATGTTTCATAAAAGGTGCTACCTGTGCAAGTCAAAGACTATTGTTTGTATAACCTGACTTCCTGCTGCCTGTTTTCTTCTTAGAAGTTGTTGTAACAGCCCTCCATCATTACTACCACCATCTCCCACCATCTCCAACCCAATGTTTGTTGGTAATATACACGTTTATAATATCTGAGTCAAGCTTGTCTCCTAACTAATTAACGCCTCATTTTCCTCATACACAAAAAGAAAATGCTTTCTCAAACAAGTCAGTTTGACCAGAATCACAGATTCATATTATACCTAAAGGGGAACTTAGAAAACTAAGAGACTAATGCTTTCATTTTGCAGTTGAAAATACTGAGAGAAGAAATGCCATGAAGAAAAATTTCATTCCTGTGTTCTTTGAAATATATTGTAAGCAAAATCATACATGTAAAACAACTGTCACAGAAACCACAATTCTCAGTTTGATGTTAGAGGAGTTGTCTGTCTTTACTATACCAATGATAGCCAGGAGATAGGTTGTAGAAAATGAAAATCGTGGCACCTATCTGGTGCTCAGCAAATGGTTTTGGGGTGAATAAAGCAATGACCATTAGTGTTTCTTTGCCAAAACATAAGTTTGTAGTTTCCGTTTCATATTTGTTTTCTTAGATAATGAATTTAAGTGGTGGCTGGGGAAAGATTCTCCACGAGCAGCTTGATGCACCTGTTCTAATTGAAATTCAGAAACGTGTCCTAAATAGGCTAGAAAATGTGTGGTTGCCATTGTTTCTTGCAAGTGAACAGTTTGCAGCACGTCAAAAAATAAAGGTAGGTAAATTACTATAATCTTTTTTTTTTTTTTTTTAAAGATTTTTATTTTTTCCTTTTTCTCCCCAAAGCCCCCCAGTACATAGTTGTATATTCTTCGTTGTGGATCCTTCTAGTTGTGGCATGTGGGACGCTGCCTCAGCGTGGTCTGATGAGCAGTGCCATGTCCGCGCCCAGGATTCGAACCAACGAAACACTGGGCCGCCTGCAGCGGAGCGCGAGAACTTAACCACTCGGCCACAGGGCCAGCCCCAAATTACAATAATCTTTTGATAGCAATTGATGGTACCTCTCAAAACATCAGATGTGCATACCTGTTGGCCTAGCCATTGTTCTTCTATGGCGTGGTGGTTAAGACAGTGGAGTCAGACTTCCCAAGTTTTAATCTTAACAGTGCCACATATTAATTGTACAACTTTAATCTTTATAACCTTAGTTTCCTCATTTACAAAAAAATGGGGCTAATAAGGGTAATTGCTTCATAAGTTTGTTGAGAAGATGAAATGAAATGATGTAGCTTAGTTTTGTAGCATGCCTGGCACACAGCAAACACTTAAATATTATCTATTAATATAGTTATTTTTTTTTAAGATTTTTTTATTTTTTTCCTTTTTCTCCCCAAAGCCCCCCGGTACATAGTTGTATATTCTTCGTTGTCGGTCCTTCTAGTTGTGGCATGTGGGACGCTGCCTCAGCGTGGTTTGGTGAGCAGTGCCATGTCCGCGCCCAGGATTCGAACCAACGAAACACTGGGCTGCCTGCAGCGGAGTGCGCGAACTTAACCACTCGGCCATGGGGCCAGCCCCTAGTTGTTATTTTTTATATGATTAAGTTCTCACATAAATGGGAAGGATGTAAAAGGGGGAAGAGTTAAATGAATTATGATAATTTCATACTATGGAAAACTGTGCAGATTTCCATATAAAGTGAGATTATAAAAATGAGGTTAAAATGTAAAAATGAGATTTCCACATGTACTGATATGAAAGATGTTATTTGCTGAGTGAAACAAGCAGGATACAGAACAATATATAGAAGGTAATCCCATTACATACTCTTATATCTCTATATCTATTTATGCGTTTCTTTCTTTCTCTGTCTGTCTATCTATCTATCTGTCTGTCTGTCTATCTTTGTGTTTATGAAAAAAGACCTAAAAGAATCTGCCTCCTGGGAATGGGTTTGGGGAGTGAGAAAGACTTTTACTATGTAAAGTAGGGTGGTTTTTGTTTTTGCTTTGTTTTATTTTTATTTTATAATGAGTATATATTACTTTGATAATTTAAAATGTCATTATTACACCTGAAAACAGGCAAACCTAATCTTTACAAAATCACACAAGGGGCAGATAGCATGTAATTTTAGACTTTAGTATGCGAAGCACATGTCATTAGTATTGATCAGGAAGAGTCTAAATAAGCTGCCCTCTATATTCAGTTTATCAAACACTTTGAGCCTTACTTATCTGGAAATAGCATTAGTCTTCTGAGCATCTTGAGTTATGGAAAACACAGTACAGCTGGGAAATTATAGTGTGCTATAGAAATTACAGCATAGAGAAGAAGAGCTGACTTGTTTAGGCAAAATGTTCCTGGAAATAAACCTTGGGACAACTCAAATTTCATCATTTCCTTTCTTCAGGCTAACCCCAATTCTCTATCCAAAACCAAGTAAAAAGACATTTGGCTTACTAATATTATTTGCCACGTTTTCTCACTGTGTTTACCAAAATAATTTTATTGTAACTTACAGCCATTTCCTGACTTAGCATTCTTTGGGTGGCCAACAACATAAATTGATTTTGGCAACCTTAAGCTGAGGACATAAGTGACAGATTATAAAATGGTACTGAAGCATCTCACTTAGGGGAAGAGTTGACACCCAAGCTTTAGAATGGCCGGGGTCCAGAACAGCCTTGGGAACCCAGCAAGAAGAATTCTCAGATCTTTGCTTCAGGCTGTGGCTATCAAAAAGACTTAGCAGCTGTGATTCTAGTCCCTGTCTCTCTGGGTCAGCTCCTGGATCTCTCTGCTATGGACAGGGGAGATAGAGCCACATAGCACAGATTTGGCAGGAGTGGTTCCCAAGAAAGGGAGAATATTGTGAATAGGCAGGAACCTCAAGAAATAGCCACTGTATTTCCTCCCTATATTGAATAACTTTTGTGCTCTTCTAAAAATAGTTGTGGCTAGAAAGTTACACAAAAGTCCAGGAAGTCCTAATTATCTCTCCAGCTGCAGTTTCCATGTGACCCAAAGTGAAACTAGTTTCTACATTTGGGGTAATACAGACAAGTATTATCATCTCCACATTGTAGATGAGGAAACTGTTCAGAGAATTTGAGTGACTTGCCCAGGGACCTGGGCAGCGCTTCCATTTCTAAGTCTGATTCTCTTTCTCCTGACCTGCAATATCTCTTCTCCATACTGACCTTTACCTCATTTTTTAATGCTATTGAATTAGTAAATGATTTCAAAACTTTAGACATTCTGAATAAATGGGATAAAATAATTGGTTTTGCTTGTAGGTACAGATGAGAGACGTAACTGAAGAGCTCTTACTACAGAAGCGTGAAAGGAAAATCGGGGTCTGGAAGGCAAGTAACATTTGGTATTTTCTTCCTCTTGTAAGTTCCACTCTGTCGAAGTATTATATTTTTCTTCCCCTTCTTGTTCAAAGACTCTCACTGTAGACACTGCTGTCTGAGCCACCAACTGACTGCCGACACTATTCTTATTTGTCTGATGGCATCTGGGGTAAAGCGATTCTACCAGAGCCCTCTTCTTAGAGTTCCTTGGCCTGTTCAACCCTAGAAGTGTTGATTGGACTTTAAATATGTATTTTTATTTATTTTGCTTATGATGGACTTATTGAGACAAGCTGTTCATTCTGCCATATGGTAGCTTATTTATTATTGAGGGTAAATTACACAAAAAGAATGAGAAACATGCAGCAGAATCAGCAGGTTAAATTATCTTACATTATCCTCTTTATTTAGAATTATGTTTTAGCCTTAAAAGAATTAAGATAACTGTAATTTTGGTGATTATTTAAACCAATATAATATGATACCTTAGTAGAAATTGCCTATTTTGTTTCTTAACAAGCGTGATAAACACAGTCGTCTTCTTGAGCCTACAAATTTATGTGTATTCGTCTTTCTGCAGGTCTTGATAGAATGTCAAAGTAAACCCAGGTGACCCCCTACAAACTAATAAAGATAAAATTTTATTTGACTGTTAGAGGAGTGTATGGCTCCGTTAGGATGCTCTTTTTCTGCATTTTTCTCTTGCAAGGAAATAAACCATTCTTATGTCTTTTGCTGTATATTTTTATTGAAATACTAAGTAGAATGGGCTTATATTTCATATTATTGTGCATTATATATTATGTTATTTTCTGTTTAGTTAAATTACAGGTTTTAGTTAAATTACTGCGTTTTAGTATCTTAAGATGCAGGTCTTAAAACATTATTTGCTGAGTGGGTTTTAAATAAACATCCCAGTCTAATACATAGTTGTTCCTATTTATAGGGCTATAATTTTAATATGGACCATATGATAAGGGTCTTAACTTTTTGTCTGGAGAAGAGACATGTGCCTCACTAAAATAGTGATAGACACCTGCTTGCTTTATCTAGGGTACAGGCACCACTGTTCCTCTAAACTGCCTGGAGTTGCCTTCACTCTTCAGTCTCTGACTCAGGCATCATCCTTAAGGCCCTTCTCTGTAAAGCTTTTACTCCTCCAGGCAGAATTAGTTACTCCTTCTTTTGTGTTCTCATAGCACTTTTTGCATATTGATGATCATATACAATTTCTTTCAAGAAACTTACTTTATGCATTGTCGGTAATGGATATTTATCATGTGTTTTGATTGATTCTTACTATAATTCCTAAATTCATCTAAAACCGTGCTTTCAGAATGGTGCTTCCTTGCATGTTTGTAGGCTAAACTCAGATTTGAGGAACGTCAATAAAATTTGTTCCGTAAAAAAAAAAATCTGTTCAATAAAATCTCTTCCTTACGTTTTTGAATCTGAGAGGCTAAAGGGGGGAAATATGAGTAAATCTAAAATGGTCAAAGTAAAAAAGTAGACACCTTGTATTTCGAAATTGTAAAGCTATAAAATAAGTAATACCTTTAAGTATTACTAAAACACCATAGGTCCTTCTGGCTTTTTTGTTATGTAAGGTGAGTCCTCAGTCAGAGGAAGTTTATTATTAAAAAGAATGTATTAATAATTATTTCTTCTTATTATTAATAATAAATTTGTTATTAAAATCATATAAAGATGTCTCACCTAAAAACATAGCTTTTCCTGGATAGAATTATAGTGAAGCTCCACAGTAAATTTCCTACTTAAATTAATAGGATTAGTTGGTAATTTTTTCTAAAAATTTTGACAAAATAGCTTAAATGTTTAACTGCTTTTACTTTTTAACAGACAGGAGAATTATATATTAATATATAACATATAACATATATAATATGTGTAATTATAAAGTCAATAATAATTTAACAATATATAATCATAACATTATGATTACTTTTTCTGTTTAAGCACAGAACTCATACTGTACACTAAAATGTAGTTTTTCACCATATTCCCTAACTGTAATGACTGTTAACATTCTTAAACAATGTAGTCATGTGTTCTAAATCATCCAATCATTTCTTTTTCTCCGTACCTCTTAAAAAAACAATGCCATAGAAATATAAAGGAGACAAAGGGGAGAGGAACAGAGGGGAAAAAATTCTCAAAATCTATTGTATCCATGCCATAAATTTCAATACCTGAAAAGTAAAGGAGATAGAAGTTGGTAATTTTTAGCCTAATAAATGACTTTCTTATTACTTTTTAGAACACAACTAATTTTCTGTATTCTCTGTTTTGGACAGCCTGTGGAGAGTAAGTGGATATCTTCATCTAGTGACATCATTGCTTTTCGTAAAGCATTATTGAATCCAGTTACTGCAAGACAATTTCAACGGTTTGTGGCTCTAAAAGGAGATTTATTGGAAAATGGGGTACTCTTTTGGCAAGAAGTACAAAAATACAAGGTATTACATTGGGAGCTAGAGAAAACCACCTCTTTTTGAGGAGGAAATGCATTAACATATCAGATTCTTAGCTATATCTTTTGGACAAGATTTGTATAAGATATCCCCAGTTTTGCCATCTTCATACCAAAATGCAAATATTGAGATGTTTACTGGTCTATGTTAGATACATTTATTATTGTACAGTGAAGAGTAATAGTGAGCCCTGAAATGATAATATTAGGTTTTTCAAGGTATTCACATATATTATGATCAATGAAAACATTCCTGAGAAGAGTTTTAGCTATATTTTGCATATCACTTATCTGTAACATACCATACACATTTTTTCCTGAAGATATCCATATTCAGTACTTTAACCAAGACCTCTTTACAGGAATTCCTTCCAACCATATTTACAGCAATAGTAATCAAATATAGTGGATTATAGACAAATAAATCAAAAGAGATAAGAGAAGCTTTTCTATTAGAAAGAATGGCCAAATTGTTAGCAAAATAAGTAAGTGAAAGAACAAGTGGTTAGGTGCAAATTTTCAGGTTTAAGTGGTTAGTGGAACCATATAGAATCTTTGCATTGAAGAGGACGAAAGGACTTTCTAGGTTATATAGTCTAAACTTAATACAGGAATGTTGTCTAGAAATACCTAAGAGTAGGCATACAGCCTCTACTTAAATGCTCCCAGGGGTAGCAGGCTCATTTGCTTGCAAGCAGCCTATTTTATCCCGTTATAAAAGTAGGGAACAAAAATAAACTGAAATTTAAGAGGCTAATGCTCTAAATTGGCCTGTAAGTATGAATTATGCCATAGTAATACTCTGCAGCATTATAGTCTATATAGTTAGTACTTGCTCAATAAAATCTGTTTCCAAACTATCTCCAACACCTCATGGAAACCTTTTCTGTTATTAACAGTTTTTATACTATTCTCAACTTAGAAATTTTCTCAGGGAAAAAAAATGTTTTGAGACAAGTTTTTTCAAAATCTGTCAGAAGATAAGTAATCCTAAAAATTATATTTTTCCTTTCTTTTCTTTTCTTTTCTTGAGAATTAGAAAGGAGATAGAGTCTGTTTTCCAGGATAGGAAATTATTATGATGGGGCAGATTGATCTTTAAGCTAATATGAATATGAGTAAGCCCAACCCTGCTAGAACAAGAAGTAATGAGATAAACCTTGCAAAACAGTAGTTAAAAAAAAAAACCATAGACTCATACATAGTCAACCCTTGGTTTTGTGACCATTTCTCTTTCAATGTTACCCTTGGTCTTCATTTAAATATCTTTTCCGTGGTATAGAATGTGGGACATATAATACTAAGTAGCTATTAAAAATCATGCTATAGGAGTGAATTTGTTCATTCACCAAGTGTTTATTAAGTATCTGATGTGCCAACCATTATGCTAGATTGTAGGAATAAAAAAAATGAATACAATGCATTGCCCTCCCTCAACGAGGGAGACATCCATGAAAACAAATATCATGAAATAGTGTCGATTATGATCCGTGTTCTGATTAGGTATCATTTTGGCACAGAGGAGGAAATGATACAGGGAGGGTGGTGGGTCAGGGAAGTCGCAGCAGAAGTGATGATAATTGAATTGGGTCTTGAGGGAGTTTGTCAGGTGGAAAGCATTCTACCTAGCAGAGTCTTACTGAGCTCACTTTTATATGACTTACTCTTATTGTTTACTATCTGCCAGATATTGTCTTAATACTTTTCATGTAATAAGTAGTTTATTCTTCATAAGAAGCCTATGAGGTCAAAGCCATTATTCTCACCATTTTACAGATGAAGAAGCTGGCACAGAAAAGTTGAGAAATGCTGACATCATACAGCTAATTAAGTGGTAGAGCTGGAATTTGAACCAAGGCATTCTATTGCTAAAGCTTGTGCCCTTAACCACTAAGTTATGCTCCCCCCAGCAATGATTGTGGTAAAATGCAACGAGATGGCTACAGGGATCTTAATCAAACATTATTCTGAATCATGAAAGATTGGAAAGAACCCAGATGTTCAACAATAGAACGCTGGTTACTTAGTTATGGTACATCTATACAATAGAATACTCTGAAGTCATTAAAAATTATGCTGTAGGAGAATAATGAATGATGGGAAAAGATATTCATCATATTGATTTTTTAAAACCTAGCTACTTAGAAAACATATGATTTAATCTAACGTGTGTGCTTGAGCTTGTGTGTGTGTCCGTAGAGAAAAGATTGGATGGATATATTCATCCAACAAATACTTATTGAGCACTTGCTAAGGGCCAGACTAAATCTTGAGGATACAACTGTGATCAAAACAGTCTTTCCTGTTAGACTTACAGTGTCATGGGAGGGACAAACACGTACAAGACAGGCAATTATGAGAGTGTGATTAGTGCAGTGGTGGATGGAGCACAGGATGCAATGGAAGTAACTAATGGACATCTCTCCTGGATGGAGGGAGTCACAGAAAGCTTACTAGAGGAAAGTATGCTTAAACTGCGACCTTGATAATAGGCAAAAGTTAATTAGGTTAATGATATAATAGGACAGAACAATTAGAAAAAAATATCACTTCTAATTCTGTCTAAATTCTATCCTTTCACTCTCAAAATTAAGACTATAGAACTTCACAAATTTCTTTTTATTGCACAAGCCTTATATTCCATAACTATAAACCAGGCTCACAAATAATTACACATGATAATCTCACTATTAATGGCAAAAAAATTACATTTTTGGTAACATACCAAATACATCGTATGAATAGACATTTTCTGAAGAGATGCTAAATTGAGTAAAAAGTACTAACTGTTGTTTCAATGTAACATTTATGTCAAGGTTTTTTCATATATAACTCATGCCAAACTGTATGTAAAGTTTTACATGGTAGGCACTAGAATTTTTCTTTCTTTAATGGTGTCCGTAAGACAGTTATTACAATGCTCACCGTACAATGAGTACTAAATAAATGTTGGCTCATTTCTGGCCTAGAATTACAAATTTCCAAATTTATTTGCTTTCTAGTCACTTAGAGAACAATGTCTTTGACAGAGAGTGCCGTAATTCAAGCTAACCTACCTGTTTATTTTAAAAAATGATAGCCCTAGATCTGTGACATAAAACTGGGTCTTTTTAATGTGGAACCACTATTTTTAAAGTTCTTTATCTATGGAGAGGATAATGTAATAGGTTAACTTAAAAAATATAGATACTAAGAGGGGCTGGCCCCGTGGCCGAGTGGTTGAGTTCGCGCGCTCCGCTGCAGGCGGCCCGGTGTTTCGTTGGTTCGGGTCCTGGGCGCGGACGTGGCGCTGCTCATCGGGCCACGCTGAGGCGGCGTCCCACGTCCCACAGCTGGAAGGACCCACAACGAAGTATACAACTATGTACCGAGGGGCTTTGGGGAGAAAAAGGAGAAAAATAAAATCTTTAAAAATATATATATATATATAGATACTAAGAGATATGTAATGACACACCTGTCACCATCAGCATTCCTGCTTATGTTGCTGGTCTTTTTGAGCCTAAATCACCTTGGTATAGAAGCAGTTCTGGTTGGAAAAGCTTTTGCATCTACCTGTGATTTGAGTTAGATGCCTGTTCTCAGTGCTCTCCTAGGACCCTGTGTATATGTCTATCATAGCACTTATTAACTATCTCAAATTGTAGTAACATGTATTCATGCTTCTCCTCCAGGAGAGACTGAGCGTTTAAAGGGTAGATACTGTGTCTTGGGGCTCAGTTCAGTGTCTGGGATATAGCAGGCACTCAATATAAATTTGTTAAATGGGTCAAAGTAGACACTAAAGCTGTCTCTTTGTCTAAGAGAAGAGGCAATCAGGATTAAATGAAACCTGTATTTGCATAAGGTATATGCATCAAAGTCTTCGTTTCCTCAAACCCAAGAGAAATAAAAGCTATGATCTTTTAAGATAGCCTTGACGTGTCCTAGTGCCCTCTTAAGTTAAAATGTATATATTAACTGAAAGATGTATGGACACGATTCTGTAAAGTGTTCTAATAATGCATTAATCATATATTCTTGTTCTATCTTTCCTCCTTGTTCAGGACTTGTGCCATTCTCATTGTGACGAGTCCATCATCCACAAGAAGATCCTGACTATTATCAACTGCTTTATTAATTCTAGTATTCCACCAGCTTTACAAATTGACATTCCATTAGAACAAGCGCAGAAGATTATTGAACACAGGAAGGAGTTAGGACCATATATTTTTAGAGAGGCACAGGTAAGAGATCAGGGCATGTGGCTAAGCATAGTTTAAAATAGATTGACAAGTTAGATATTCTTTTAAAGCTTTTGCATTATTCCTATTTGGCAGAGTTCCAGTCCTCCTAATACTGAGATTTATTCTATTTAATTAAAAAAATCTTTGCTTATGCCACAGAACATAAGAAACTAGTAACTTATTGTCTCGTTGATGATAATATACAGCAAATACAATTATTTAAATACTATACTTTGACTTCCATGATTATCATTTTTGTTTCTAACTTATTAAATTCCAGCTAATTCTTTATTCCTTTCCCACCATTCATATTTCCTTTTAAAATATCTGCTACCACAAAAATGTGTAAAATATGTGTGTCCCAAGATTTGTGTATTTTTAGAGATTTAAATATTCACATAGCTCATAAAATAAGTGAAAGGAGATTTAAGTACCCAACCAACATAAAGTACACAAGCTCAAGAAAGGAAAATCATGCCTGTTAACCTGCTCAAGTTACTTCTTTTTAAGATAAATAATAGAAAACAGTGATTTGGTGAACATAATTTATTTGCATTTTGAAAAGCCTTTTAGTCATGTTGTTCCTGAAAAATGATTAAGAAAAATAAATTATAATGGGGTAATAGGGAAGGCCATGTCATGATTTAAGTGATATAAACCAGATATTTAGGGTATGATTGCCCTTGAGCATGGAAAAAGGCCATTATTCCTTAACATTCATTTGTGAGCCAGCTGTGTTCTTAGTCCTCTAAGGAACTGAAAGTGAACTCACAATCCAAATCATGCATTAAAATAGGCAAAAATACAGAGGAGTGATTGAGGATGTGCTAGGGAGATACAGAGAAAATATGGTGCCAGAACTGTGGCATCTGCTGATAAACAGATCTTAGAGATCTCTGAGCTTAGGTCTCCTGATAACCAGGCCAGGTCTTGCCCATCTAGATCAAAGGCTCTGAGTCTGACAGTGAATGTCTGGAGCTACTTACATTGGTTGGTTCCAGCACACTCTCCAGGGATTGCAGCCAGTGAACTTTATTGAAATCCTCTAGTTTACACCTTCTCCCTGACTTCCTAAAACAGAGTCCTAGACATATCTTAAATATGGACTTTGAAGCATCTGAAAATAAGGGAATCTTTATTTAGGGGCCTCATTCTACCAAATCAATTATTCCTCTTGTGTTTCCTGAGAAAGCTCAGAGAATAGCATCACCTCCTACCAGGGTATAGAAGCCAGAGATCTGGTTGCCATCTTCATGTGTTCCCTCTCTTTCATTCCCTTACCCCCATGTGTTCAGTCCTTAAACATATCCATTTGTCTCCTTATCTATCGTTCTATCTACTTTTCTCCAACTCCATGCACTACCTCAGTTCACATCTGCAATGTCTCACATTGATTACCAAAACTCCCTGCCTCTGGGCTCTCGAAACCATTTAGCTCACTGCATACAGAGCCATCTTTTTCAGAATGTCTTCTGGATCATGTCACTTCTCTGCTTTCTATTTCAATTGCGCCCCATTGTCCTCAGAATGAAGACCATACTCCTACATATCCATCTAGCCACATCTCTTACCACTCCCTGCCATCTATCTCCCAGTCTTACTGAAATATTTATATTTCCATAAAGGGGCCTTATTTTCTTCCCTCCTGAGCTCTTTGCAGTACTGTCTTCTCTCTCTTGTATTTCTATAATATCCTATATTTGTTCCCATCAGAACACTTATCATACAAAATTGGAAATGACTATTGTCATGACTGACTTTCCCATTAGACTGTAAGGTCTTTGAGGGCAGGGAATGTTTCTTATTTACCTTTGTGGCCTGAATTCCTGGCACAGAATAGGCACTCAGTAACATTTTTGAACACATTAATGAATGATGTGAGAAGAGATCTATCATGACAGAAAGGAAGAAGATCAAATTGGAAATGACAGCAAAGTTGAGTGAAAGGGCTGAAGAGTAAATAAAAAGCTGTTGCCTGTTTTAGTAGTATTATCAATGTGGCCTCTGCCTATCCCCTACCTGCATCCCTAATAGTTTGAAAGTTTTCATCATTCAGACAAATTTTCACTGGCTCTTTTTACTCAGATTTAAGTCATTGCCCATCTGCTGGCAGTGAACAAAGTAGCTCTATATTTGTTAAAACATTTTCTTACCCACAGTTTGGTTGTCTTTTAAGGTTCTGAGGTGCAAGGTAATTTTCATGAATAACACGTATGTTATTCACCTGAAATCTTAATTGCAACTTTTAGGAATAGAACAATTTTATGTCTGCCATTGAAAAATTGTGTCGTAATTGAGACTTGGAAATAAATTTATTTGAGAGCTGAGAATGACTCAGGTTTTGCAGAGATAACTGAGAAGTAGGGTCGTTAGTTGGTAAATAGAGGAGGAGGAGGAGTATTTAAGTTTAAGTTCATATAAAGACTACTATGATCCCTTAACATTGAAACAGGGGATTACTTAATTAAATGCATGACAGGTAAATGTAAATGAAATTTTTTTAAAGCCTGCATTTCATCAAATAAAGTATCTCTAGCATTTATGTTCACAATCCCAAGAGGCTATAGAAATCAATGAGAAGATTGTATTTTAAAAGGAGTAAATAATTTTGGAATTACTAATAATGTTCATGTACAGAAAAGAGGAGCAATGAAATGTGCCAATTCAGGACTCTGTTGATCACTGCAGCATTTACTTTTTAAAAGTTCCTCTTTTCCCCTGAAGAGTTGGCTTAGAACCTAATGGGATGGTTCATTTTTCTCCAGGGTGTTAAGTAAAGGCTGTTCCTAGCAACAAGATGTTGGACTTGGTCTGATGTTAGAAGGTCCTACCTTCTTGAAAGTAATGTATGCCTCTGGAACTAATGGAAAAACTTGGCATGAGAATTTGAGCAACAATTCTTATCTCTGTAAATATCACAATGAATCACTTAATGTAGAGTGTCCTCATAGAAACCATTTGTCCAGGATACCACTCTGCTTTTTAAAAGTTACTTTTCTTGCTCTCACATAAAAGAGAGATTATATCATTTAAAAGTTACTCAAGATTTATTCTTAGATCTGCAGCTTTGTTTAAGAGCTTTTCCAGAGGCAAAATGGTATTTCCTTTCTCTAAAAGAAAGAAAAGGGGGAACAGAGAGGAGTTTCCCTTGATGAACTGAATATTTGGAATACTTGCATAAAACAGCAGAGTGTGTGGTGTGGCAGATCTACTAGTATATGTTTTAAAAGAAAACATAAATTTCTTATTTAAAAAGACCTAATGGATTCTTTATTAATACAATCAATTGGTTAGGGAAACATAAAGAATAAAGTGACTTTTAAGTGTATCTAAGTGTACTTTTTTTTAAAAGAAAGACTTTCTCATTGGTAGTAAAAAAAACATTGATGATAAGCATGTGCTGAGCTAAACTATACCAAGATGTCTGGAGACAATAAGTTGGAGGAAACATGCTGTATATTAAAGATAGAATAGTTAACCCATTATTATGGTGAATTAGAGTTTAAATCGGTACATTTGTATAAAATTGTAATCTGAGACATACTTTGTTTTTTATACAGATGACAATTTTTGGAGTTCTATTTAAGTTTTGGCCTCAGTTTTGTGAGGTTAGAAAGAACTTAACTGATGAAAAAATTATGAGTGTTTTAGAGAGAAGACAAGAATATAATAAGCAGAAAAAAAAATTGGCAGTCACAGAAGACGAAAAATTTGCAAAGGTGAGACAAGACTCATTTTGGGTTTAATCAGACTTTTAAAAGGTGTGTGATATCTGTGCATTTATAGAAGAATTTGGGCTGGGGAAAAATACAGACAAGTTATGGAATACAGATTTTAGTGGCTTTTAAGCCTTCAGTCAGAGGTTTCAGACTTGGTTTTGCATTCCTCAAAATGTCATCTCTTCTATGTGAAAGCTTTCTTGACCCTAGTAGGCAACACAAGCAGCTCACATCCACTGTAATAACATTCCTGCCTCTCTTGGCATATGCTTTCTATTGTCTTGTGAATGAGTTTTTGCATCTGTCATCCTCACTGGCCTGAGATCCTCCAGGATAGTATGTGTCTTATTCATCTGTGTCTCATAAGCACTTGCACTAGTGTCTCGCACATGTTCAATTATTATTCATTGTTTACTGAATAAATCAGGAATGAATGAATGAATGAATGAATGAAAAGATATTATGTACTGGAGGGTAGCATTTTCAGTATTACAATTACAGAATGATACATTGACTGCAAATTTGTAAACATGAATCATAGATTGCCCAGCCTGCCTGTTTGTTATTCTGTCCCTTTATTCATCCATTCATCTATCTTTCTTTCTATTTATTTTCTTTGAATTGAAAAGGGATAACTGCTCCCAAGTAATGTGTTTTATTTATTTATAAGCTTATAGTTATCCTATTTTTAAAAGAAATTAAAAATATATCAAAAGGTACAAATATAATAAGCACTCTCATTTGCACAGGATGAAATAAACACCGTTAACATTTTGCCTCATTTGCTTTATTTTTCCCCCTAGGAAATAAAATATTGCAGAAAGAGTGAACTCTCTTAACCCCAGCCCTGAGTTCTATTACTCTGCCCATCCCCATTAAGTTTGGGATATATTCTTCCAGCTCTTTTTAAAGATGGTGTTTTATATGTGTATATGTATTCATACACAATACAGAGGACTATTTTGTATGTATTTTAACTTACGTTAATGGTACCATATTGTATTAGTCCGCTTGGACAACCGTAACACAATCCCACAGACTGGGCGGCTTAAACAACAGAAATCTGTTTTCTCTCTCTTCTGGAGGCTGGGAGTCCCAGATCAAGGTGCCAGCTGATTTCGTTCCTGGTGAGATGTCTCTTTCTGGCTTGTATATGGCAACTTTCTTTCTGTGTCCTCACAAGGTGGGGAGAGAAAGAGATCTCTCTCTTTTCTTTTTCTTGTAAGGCCACAATACCTTCAGATTACAGCCCACTCTTATGACCTCATTTAACCTTAAGTACCTCTTAAGGACCCTCTCTTCGCATACAGTCATACTGGAAGTTAGAGCTTCAACATATGAATTTGGGAGGGGGACACAATTCAGTCCATAGCACATATTGTGCAATGTGTGTTTCTACATCTTGCTTTTTAAACTCAACTTTATGCCTTTTAATTCTACCAGCATTGCTATATTTAGATCTGGTTTATTCGATTTAATTGCTGCATACTATTCCATCATATGAGTAAATATACTGTTTTAATTTATTTCTCTACTGTTGGATATTTGTTTTCAGTTTTCACCTTCACAAATAGCACTGCAGACAATATTCCTGTAAATGTCTTCATATTCACATGTATAAAAATTTTTTTGGAATTGCAGAATAACAGAGTATGTGTGTTTTTAGTAGAGTAAGTGCTACCATTTTGTTTTCCCTGTGAATGTGTCAGTTTATATTCCTACTAGCAGTGTATGCGAACACTGCTTTTCCCCATTTGGTGGTCCCCATTTGGTATGTTTAGACTTTGAAATTTTTCCCAGTCGTATGATGACAAATAACATCAATGCATTTATTTACGGTTTCTTAATTATTAGTAACATGTTACTGACTGTTTAAATATTTTGGTCAGGATTGTAATGAACCTATAGATCAGGTTGGGGAGAATTGACATTATAACACTATTGTATCTTCCAATCCATGAAAACAGTATATCTCTATTTAGTTCTTCTTTAATTTCTCTCAGCAATGACCTGCAGTTTTCAATGACAGGTCTTGAATGTATTTTGTGAAATTTATTCATATTTCATATTCAAAATAGTGCTATTGCTATGATATTTTTTAAGTTTCAAATTCCAAATGATTTTTTATAAAAATTTTTATTTTGAAATAGTTAACATTCACAGGAATTTGCAGAGATAGCAGAGAACTCCCGTGTACCCTTCACTCATTTTCCCCGATGGCTACATCTTACCTTAACTATAGTACAATAGTAAAATCAGAAAATTGACATTGGTACAAGGTGTGTGTATAGTTCTCTGCCATTTTATCACATGTGTAGATTTGAGTAACCAACACTGCATTCCAGATATAGCAGAAACATCTCCCTGGTGACTATAAGTCATAGCCACCAGCACCCGCATTGTCCCTATGTCTGGCAGACACAAATCTGTTCTTGTTTCTATAATTTTGTCATTTTGAGAATGTTATGTAAATGGAATCATACAGTTTGTGATTTTTTGAGATTGGCTTTTTCCACTCAACATAAATGCCCTTGGGATCCATCCAAGTTGTTATGTATATCCATAGTATGTCCTCTTTTTTGACGAGTAGTTTTCAGTGGTACATTTATAGCACAGCTTAACCATTTACTCATTGAAGGACATTTGGATTGTTTCCTGTCTTGGGCTATTACAATAAATATTAATGCAAGTTATGTGTTCTTTAACAGCAGGGATATGTTCTGAGAAGTTGTGTTGTTAGGCAATTTTGTCATTGTGCGAACATCATAGAGTGTACTTACACAAACCTTCATATACCTAGTAGATATAGCCTACTACACACCTATGGACTAATCTCATGGGACCACCATTGGACATGCAGTCCATTGTTGACTGAAGTGTCATTATGTGGTGCATGACTCTATAATCACTCCTGCTTTCATATTCTTTTTTTTGTTGTTTGAGTACTTTTATTTATAACAGCTTTATTGAAATTTAATTCACATACTATAAAATTCACACTTTTAAAGTATACAATTTTTTTATTTTAATATATTCACAGAGTTGTACAACCATCACCACTACTTAATTTTAGAATGTTTTCATTACCCCGAAAAGAAACTCCATACCTATTAGCAGTCACTCCCTATTCCTCCATCCCCTCAGCTCCTGGCAGCCACTAATCTACTGTCCATATCTGGACATTTAATATAAATGAAATTATACAATATGTGACCTTTTGTGACTGGCTTCTTTTACTTAGCATAGTATTTTCAAGGTCCATCTATGTTGTAGCATTTATCAGTACTTCATTCTTTTTATGGCCAAATAATATTCCCCTATATGGTTGTACTACATTTTGTTTATCAATTCATCAGTTAATGTAAATTTGAGTTGTTTTTACTTTTTGGCTTTTATGAATAATGCTGCTGTGAAAATTCTTACACAACTTGATGTGTGGACATGTTTTCATTTTTCTCTGGGAACCAGAAGTTGAATGGTGGCTCATAGGGTAACTGTATATTTAACCTTTTGAGGAACTGTCAGACTTCTCCAAAACTGCAAAACCAGCTTACTCTCTTTTGATGTTTGCATGGTATATCTTTTTCTATTCCTTTACTACCTATATCATTATATTTGAATGAGGTTTCCTATAAACAGCATATAGTTGTGTCATGCTTTCTTGGCTTATTTTTTTTGTAATCTACTCTATCAATCTCTGTCTTTTAATTGGTGTATTTAGTCTGTTTATCTTTAATGTAACTATTGATATGTTAGTTTCCAAGTCTGCTGTGTTATCTTTTTTTTTGTTCCCTCTGTTTTTCTTTTTTTTTCTCTTTACTTTGTCTTGCATTCCTGTGGATTATTCAAACATTTCTTACAATGTTATTTTGATATATTTTTGTTTAGTGTTTAGTGTTTTAGTGGTTGCTTTAGCTATTACATTATACATACATAACTTATCACAGTCTATTCATGTTGACATTTTACCAGTTTGAGTAGGGTCTAGAAACTACCTCCCTTTAAGTCCTTTTCTTCTCACCTGTTTATAATTATTTTAAATATTTCCTCAACACATATTGAGAACTACATCAGACAATTTTGTAATTTTTGCTTTAACTATCAAACATAAATTAGGAAACTCAAGGGGAGAAGAAAAGTCTGTAATATTTACCCATACTTTTGCTCTTTCCATTTTTCTTCCTTTCTGATGCTCCAAGACTTTTTATTTTGTCCTTTCTTTTCTCTATAGTAAGGTGTACTTACTGCTCTCAAGTATTTTGTCACTTACTGCTCTCAAGATTTTTTCTTTGTCTTTAGTTTTCAGAATTTTGATTATGATGTATCTTGTATGGATTTCTTTGGGTTTACTCTGAGTATTGGTCAAGTTCTTGAGTCTGTAGGTTTATATCTCTTTCCAAGTTTGGGGGCATTTATAAATGTATTACATATATGTGTATATGTGTCTGTATATGTACATGCTTTCTTTCTGATCCCTATATATGATTTATATACATATTATATATCATTTGTATAATATATGTGGATCAGAAAGAAAGCATGTATATATACATATATATATATGATACTATATAAATCCCCTATCTATCTATCTATCTATCTAGTCAAATCTCTTTTCCCTTTGGGTAACTTGTAGCTTCATTTCTGAGAGATTTTTGGTTTTTTCTTCAATCCTTTTTTTTTTTTTTGAGGAAGATTAGCCCTGGGCTAACTACTGCCAATCCTGCTCTTTTTGCTGAGGAAGACTAGCCCTGAGCTAACATCCATGCCCATCTTTCTCTACTTTATACGTGGGACACCTACCACAGCATGGCTTTTGCCAAGCAGTGCCATGTCCACACCTGGGATCTGAACCAGTGAACCCAGGGCCGAGAGAAGCAGAACGTGTGAACTTAACTGCTGTGCCACCGGGCCAGCCCCATTCTTCAATCTTTAAGTTCAGTAAACTGGCATTTTACATTTTCCTTTTTATATTTCCTGCCTATTTCTGTCCTGAGTTT